ATTTTATAGTGAGATATATAATTATTTCATTAGGTATTACAGTGTAATAATAATAGAAATAAAGTGCACAATAAACATAATGTGCTTGAATCATTCTGAAACCATCCTCCCCAACTCCTTACCCCCAGTTCATGGAAAAATTGTCTCCCACAAAACCAGTCTCTGGTGCCAAAAAAGTTGAAGACTGCTGGTTTATAGTATATTCCCAAATATGTGCAACCATCATAGTAATCAATTTTATAACACTTTATAACCTCAAAAAAATACTCTCTATTTTTTTTTATGGAGTCCTGCTCTTTCACCAGCCTGGAGTGCAGTGGCACAATCTCAGCTCACTGCAACCTCCTTCTCCCTGATTCAACCACTTCCCCTGACTCAGCTTCTTAAGCAGCTGGGACTACAGGCACGTGCCATGATGCCCAACTTATTTTTTGTATTTTAGTAGAGACGGGGTTTCACCATGGCCAAGATGATCTCTATCTCCTGACCTCATGATCCCTCTGCCTCGTCCTCCCAAAGTGCTGGGATTACGGGCATGAGCCACTGCGCCTGGCCAATACTCCATACTCCTTAGCTATCACTCTTCTAGCCCCTATCCCTCTAGTCCTAAGAAATCACTAATATACTTACTCTATAAGCATTTCATATAAATGGAATCATGTAATATGTGGGCTTTTCAAATTAGCTTCTTTCACTTGGGATGTTGTTTTTAAGGCTCATGTATGTTATAGCATGTGTCAATACAGCATTCTTTTTTTATGGCTAAATAATATGCCATCATATAGACACACCATGTTTTGTTTATCTGTTCATCAGTTGATGGACATTTAGGTTGTTTCCAACTTTTGGCTATTATGAATAATATTGCTGTAATCATTCATGTATAAGTTTTTTGTTGGACACAATTTTTATCTTGGGTGTATACCTGAGAATGGAATTGCTGAATTGATAGCAGGATTTTATTTAATCATTCAAATAACTTTCAGAATGTTTTCCAAAGTTCTACATCATTTTACGTTCCTACCAACAGTGTATTAGAGTTTCAATTTATCCATATTCTCAATAAAACTTGTTATATTATCTAAAATTTTGATTCTAACCATCCTACTTGGTTGACTATCTCATTGGTCTTGTTGTGAGCTTTAATTTTTATTTCTCTGATGACAAATGGAACTAAGCACCTTTTTACCTGCTTATTAGCCATTTTAATATCTTCCTCAAAGAGCAGGATATTTTTGGATCCAGTGTCCCTTTTTAAATTGGGTTATTTTTCTTTTGGTTATTGATTTCTAAGTATTTTTTATATATCCTAGATGTGAGTACCTTATCAAACATGTAATTTATAAATATTTTCTTTCCTTCTGGGGGTCTTCTTTTTACTTTCATGATAGTGTCTTTTGAAGCACAAATTTTTAGTTTTGGTGAAGTCCAATTTATTCTTTTTGTATTAGTCCATTTTCATACTGCTGTAAAGAACTGCCCAAGACTGCGTAATTTATAAAGAAAAAAGGTTTAATTGACTTACAGTTCTGCATGGCTTGGGAGGCCTCAGGAAACTTACAATCATGGCAGAAGGTGAAGAAGAACCAAGACACCTTCTTCACAAGGTGGTGGGAAGGAGAAGTCCTGAGCAAAGTGGGGAAGAGCTCCTTATAAACCATCAGATCTCATGAGAACTCACTCACTATCACAAGAATAGCATGGGGGGAAACCAACCCATGATTCAACTGCCTCCACCTGGCCTCCTCCTTGACATGTGGAAATTATGGGGATTTGGGGGATTACAATTCGAGATGAGATTTGAGCGGGAACACAAAGCCTAACCATAACACTTTTCATTGTTGCTTATGCTTTTGGTGTCAAGTCTAAATCTGACAAATGCCAAATCTGAGATCATGCAGATTTACTTTCAAGTTTCCTTCTAAGAGTTTTATAGTTTTAGCTCTTATATTCAGGTTTTTGTTTCATTTTAGTTATTTTTGTCTGTTATAAGGTAAAGGTTTAATTTTATTTATTTTGCATATGGCTATTTAGCTTTCCCTCACCATTTGTTAAAAAGACTGTTCCATCCCCATTGAATAGTTTTGGCACCTTTGTAAAAACAAAATTGAACAAAGGCAAATTGTTTTATTTTTGGACTCTCAATTTCTTTTCTTTGATCTGTATTTCTATTCTTATGCTGGTGCTGCACTGCCTTGGTTACCATTGCTTTGAAATAAGTTTTGAAATCAGGAGCTATAAGTCTTTCTACATTCTCTTTTTTTAAAATATTGGTTTGGTTTTGGGGGTCCCTTGTAATTTCATATGATCTGGAGGATTGGTTTTTCAATTTTTGCAAAAAGGGTCATTGGAATTTGATAGGGATTGTTAATTCTGTAGATGATGTTATGTAGAATTGACATTTTAACAATATGAGATAGTGTTATCATCAACATGGGATGTCTTTCTATTAATTGAAGTCTTTAAAAATTTATTTGAGCAATGTTTTGTTGTTATCAACGTACAAGTTTTTCACCTTGGTTAAATGTATTCCTAGGCATTTCATTCTTTTGATGATGTTATAAGTGGAATTGCTTTCTTAATTTATTTTTTGGATTGTTCATTAGTGGTGTATAGGAACACTAATTAGTGTTAATAATTAGTGGTGGATTTATGTGTTTTGATCTTGTACATTGAAACTTTGTTTAATTCATTTATTGGTTCTAGTAGTTCTTTTATGAATTATTTGGAATTTTCTATATATAGAATCCTACTGTCTGTGAAAAAAATGTTTTTCTTCTCTTTCAATTTGGTTGCCTTTTATTTCTTTTCCTTGCCTAGTTGTCCTGTCTAGAACCTTCAATACATCGCTGTCTAGAAGTGTTGAGAGTGGACATCCTGTCTTGTTCCTGATGTTAAGGAACATTCAGTCCTTCACCAGCAAGTATAATGTTGTGTAATGTTGCCTGTGGACTTTTTGTAGTTACCTTTTATGCGATTCAGAAAATTCTTTTTTCCCCCAGTTGGTTGACTTTTCGTTTTGTCATAAAAGAGTCTTAGATTTATGTCCATTTTTTTCAGTGTCTGTTGAAATGATTATGTGGTTTCTGTTATTTGTTCTATTTTGTGGTGTAATACATTAATTATTTTCAGTTGTTAAGCCAACTCTGCATTACTAGGCTAAATCTCACTTGGTCATGGTATGTAATTCTTTTGTATGTTGCTGGACTCAGTTTGCTGATATTTTGTTGAGGATTTCTATATTCATATTTATATGAGAGATTGGTCTGTAGTTCTCTTGTGAAACCTTTGTCTGTTTTCTGTATCAGTGTAATAACTGGTTTCATAAAACTTGTTGGTAAGTGTCCCGTCCTCTTCTAATTCTTGGAAGAGTTTTTGAAAAACTACTGTTAATGCTTCACTAAGTGGTGGTTAAGATTCAGCAGTGAAGCTATCAGGGTCTGGTGTGGGCTTTTCCTTGGGGGTAGGTTTTGCCAATGTTGTTGTTTTACTAATTCAATTTATTTTCTTGTTATTGGTCTATTCCAATTGTCAGTTTCTTCTTGAGTCAATTTTGGCAAGGTGTGTCTTTCTAGGACTTGGTTCATATAATCTAAGCTATTTAATTTATTGGCATAAAATTGTTTATAGTATTTTTTATAATCCTTTGAAAAAATTCAGTAAGGTCAGTAGTAATGTCTCCTCTTTCATTTCTGATCCTAGTATATTAATTTAAGCCTTTTCTCTTTTTTCTTTATTAACCTAGATAAAGACCACCAATTCTGTCAATCTTTCCAAAGTACCGGATTTTGGTTTAATTAATTTTATTTATTGTTATTCTATTCAGTAATTCATTACTTTCTGCATTAATATTTATTTTCCCCCTTCCTCTGTTTGCTTAAGATTTAGTTTTCTCTTTTTTTCCCCCAGTTTCTTAAGTTTCAGATATTGATTTAAGGTATTTCTTTTTTTCCGAATACTGGCATTTACAGCTATGAGTTTCCCACTGTGCTCTGCTTTAGTTATAGCCTGTGTTTTGGTATGTTGTGTCTTTATTTTTATTCATCTCAGAAAGTTCCCTTTTGATTTCTTCTTTGACCCATTAGTTACTTAGGAACACATTTTTTTAATCTACACTTATTTTTGAGTTTGTCAAATTTCTTTGGGATAGTTGATTTCAAAATGTGTTCCATTGTGATTAAAAGACATGCTTTGTATTATGTCTATTCTTTTGAATTTACCAAAGTTTGTTTTGTTGCCTCAGCTTCCCAGCCCCTTGACCTATTTGAAAATTTGCATATATCTCAAAGTCCAAGAAATATAAAAAAGCAAAAATGTTGGGCATTTTTGTTAATAGCAGTAATAACTCAGTGAGTTCCTCTTCAGAATCTTGGCTCCTCAAATCTCAGCTCTCTTGGTAGCTCTCTGCTGTCTTAAAGTAGATTGTTCAAATCTCTGTCTTTTCAGTCATTCTTAGGAGGAAGGTTGAGCTGCAAACTAGCTCATCATAGATGGAGATGGAAGCAAGCCTTAAACATATATGTGAATGTATTCATATGTGAGTGTGTCAGCATAGGTGAAGCCTGTATTTATATGAATCCAATTGACCAACAAATTCTGCAACCATTATTTCCTCTATCAATTCATCAGTATAGAGAAGTTCTTATCTAAAATCACAACTATTGCTCACGCCTCTAATCCCAGCACTTTGGGATGACAAGGCAGGTGGATCATCTGAGGTCAGGAGTTCAAGACCAGCCTGGCCAACATGATGAAGCCTGTCTCTACTAAAAATACAAAAATTAGCCAGGCATGGTGGTGGGTGCCTGTAATCCCAGCTACTTGGGAGACTAAGGCAGAAGATTCACTTGAGCCCAGGAGGTGGAGGCTGCAGTGAGCTGAGATTGTACCACTGCACTCCATCCTGGGTGACAGACAGAGACCTGGTCTCAAAAAATATAGCAAAATAAAATAAAATCACAACTATCATTAAGCTGTGACTTGTTTTCTCCTTTCTCCAGGATTTTGTGTCATGTATAGAGAACTACAGAAGAAGAGGACAAGAACTATATGCATCTTTATACAAAGACCATGTGCAGGTAAGAAACAAAACACAGGCTTTCTCTATATAGTAAGCTGGAATCCACCTTGAAACTGAAAAATAATCTCAAGGGCTTTCAGTTTAAGTTCTGGATTGCCCATCAGGCTTGCACTGCATTGGTGTTTTTCATTTTATCCTAAATGCAATGGGTTGCCATTGATAAGGCAACCCATTGCATTTAGGGTTTTGAATTCTAAGTCTGCCCCTTCCTATGACTGGGTTCTAGCCTCTGTGTGCTTATCTGTAAGCTGGAATAATTTCTCCTACCTGTGAAGATTTAAGAGCAAGTGTGAAGCACACAGACTTGTGGCTGATAGGAAATGGATACTCCATGTGTGGTTATAGAATAGTTAAGAAGTTTATTTTTATTTGGTGTTACTGTTATTAACAAAAAATTAGCATATTGCTAAAATAGAACACATCATGCAGTCTTAAAACCCTGTTGAATATATTATTTACTCAACAATTTCTTTGTCCCAAAGTCACTGTGAGGTATAAAAAGATACTCCTGTGTCTTGAAGATATTTGAAACTTATAGATGAAACTCAGAGTAAAGAAATGCCCAGAAAACATGATGAGCTCAATAATAGGATGTTCCCCCACTGGGAAAGGAGTGATTGGGTGTAAGGAGCCATTAGTGTGCCCCGTGTGGGCTGCAGATCAGGAAGGCTGAAACATGGTGCCCAGTGCCAGGAAACAGAAGAGACACTAATCATCTGAAGCTGAGTTGCCCTAATTTCCCCCATAGAAGCCCACAACATGCTCCGGAAAGACCCATTCATGGATGTGCAGCCTGCACCCCAGAAACACACAACCTAGCAACATAGCCTCCTAGGCTCTCATGAGTGATGGGAGCAACAGCTTATCAGACAGGACACTTGTGAGAAAGGAGGTTTGGTGTGTACAGGATGTGCTCATGACTGTGATGGTCAGAGGGACCAGCAGGCATCTCTAGTTTCTCTGAGTGCACAAGCTGGTTTTTCACAGACCCTGTGGTTGGACAAGGGTTTTCTCTGTGGGCACCTACCCCACTCCAACATTGCTGACTGTGTTGCATAGCTGGGTAGGGGGCCTTGCTGGCTTATTTGGGTGTCATCTGTGCCTATTGGACAAACCATTACACATCAAGGACCTACCACAGGGATTGACAGATTTCACTCAAGACTAGCAATATGGTTGACAAATTTAATTCCCATTGAGGGACAAATAAGAGGAATCTTACAGGATTGCATCCTTTATTGGTGGACATCCTCATCACCACTCCACCGTTTTGAGACCGAGGATGCGGTTTATCTAAACTTCCGAATTGGTATGTGATCTAGAGTGCCTGGGAGATACAGTTACAGCCCAGAGAGGTGCCCTAGGGTACTTCGTGAAATTCTTTTGAAATTTATGAGATTATAGGTTTGCGTGGGAAGAATGGGACTCCTTCAGCAGAGGCTTCAAGCCCAGAAGAAAGGAATCCAGCCACCTGGAAGGTTAGCCTGTCTCATCTTCAGCAGCAGGGCTGACTGGAGTTCAGAAGGGACTTGAGAAAGTTGTGCAGTTTTCGTGTTGATTGAGGTATTTTTGATAAAATCAGTATTTGGAAGCTAATCCACAAGGATACTTTCTAAGTATTTAAATATTAAAGACAGGTGGTTTTGATATTTGGAAAAGTGCAGATATAATAACCATCTGCCAGAGATAATGGGATGTGGACCATTGCCCTACTTTTCTAAGGGGCAGTATGCTTTCCCAACAAAGGCGCAGTCCACTTCCAGAAGTCAGGTCCAAACTCTGGACAGAGATCAGGCTTGAGAAATCTGCCATGTTCTTTGAGGACAGCTTCTCCCAGGTGCACCCAATGAGGCCCTCCGAAGAAGAGGAGATTCAAGGGCCTCTGCCCACAGGCCAGCCAGTAACACACCAGGCAAGACTTGTCTAACTGGGCACTTTACCCACAACTGAGAGGTGACTGGAGATGACAGCAGCCCCTGGCACCACAAGGCGTCATTGCCTCGTGCTCTGGAAGTTACCCAGAACATCGTTATATCCCATTAATATCTCAACAGAAAATCTTGCAATTCAAATAGTTTATCAGCCAAATTTCTTTTTGGTGAAGAAGTTCTGGCAAAACGTGGCCTCTACAGTCTGGCCCAAAGATTCCCCTTTGCCTTGTCCGCGTTATCTGCATTCTTTTCTCTGTGGCCCAGCCTCTCTTGCTCTGTCTGTTACATACTTAGGCCATCCAGTTCTTATACTGAATCTTCATTATAATTTGAAGAAATGACTTATCCTGACTACACAGTCTTTACTGGTCGGAGTTCTTTGTGAGACGCCTGAAGACTAGAAATGGCCACTGTCTTCTATCCCTTTCTCTTCCAGGGCCTCTAGTTTCCACTTCTGGTTCGGTCTCTATCTACTCATTGAGTATTTGTCACAGCTCTCTCAGATGCAAATATTGGAAGCTCAACTCATACTGCCATAGGCAACAAAGAAAATGTTTTGTTTTACTGAAGAATCCAGGGAAATGCAGGTTTCAAGCAGCACTGGATCAAGTTCCATGCTCTGCTTCCTCTGTGTGAGCTCCTGAGGGTGCCATTCCCAGCCCTAGGGGGTGGTGTCTATCAGCCCATCCTGTAACCATTCAGACAACTCAGATTATAGAGACTCAGGTGAAGTATTCATCTCCGAAGCCTGGTCAACCCCACGGAAGCAGCAGAGACTGAAAGTAGGGAAGGGCTGGGTTTCCAAATGTTAATCTAAGTGTTGCTATCCAAGGGTTGCTGTGATTAAAAAATTATAGCCAGTCAAGTGTGGTGGCTCAGGCCTGTAATCCCAGTACTTCGAGAGGCTGGGCAAGAGGATTGTTTGAGGCCAGGAGTTCAAGACCAGCCTGGACAACATAGCAAGACCCCATCTCTTAAAAAAATAATAGTTAAAAAGACATTAGCCAGGCATGGTGACACCTTTAATCCCAGGTACTTGGGAGGCTGGGGTAGGAAGATTGCTTGAGCCCAGGTGTTGAAGGTTACAGGTTACAGTGAACTATGATCATGCCACTGCCTTCTAGCCTTCTAGCCTGTATGACAGAGCAAAAGACCTTGTCTCTGAAAAAAAAAAAAAAAAGAAATTGTAGTTGTCCCCCAGCATAATAGAATCCCTGCCTGTGAGTCTGTGAGCCTTAAGTATGGCATTTAGCCCACCTACGGTTTGAATAGAAAGAGAGCCTTACACTGTGCAGGAACATGGGCATTTCAGAGCATCTTTGCAGGTTTGGAAACTCAGGACTTTTGCTATTTAGTCATCTGACATTCTCCATCCTGGGCCACATGTAACTTGCTACCATGGACTAAATAATCACTTATCTCTCAGGGATCACACAATTGTCTGGCTACAGGTACTCAAGACAAACTGTGTGATCTGTGTTGAAGACTCAGACAGCTGTGCATCTTCAGGTTGCATAGGTGGAGACTTGGGGTGGAGATATGTTCTTGAAAAATTAATTTGAAGCCAAGGCTGGACAACCCAATAGCTTGGGATTATTCATCCTCCATGAAGCTCCATATGTTACTACAAATGCAAATGTACAAATCTTACTACAATCTCCTGGGAACTGAAATATTTCCACCAAACAAGTGTTCATTCCGTGTGACCAAGTCTCTGTAAAAAGTTTTGGATTGTCACTTGGATAGTCATTATTTTTCTGGAGGCCTTTGTTTTTGAGATAGGGAGGGTCTTACTTTGTGGCCCAGGCTGGAGTACAGTGGCATAAATCATAGCCCACTGAAGCCTTGGACTCCTGAGCTCAAGAGATCCTCCTGCCTCAGCCTCCCAAATAGCTGAGAGTACAGTCGTGTACTGATGTGCCCAATTATTTCTTTAATTTTTGTAGAGACTGGGTCTTGCTATGTTGCCCAGGCTGGTCTCAAACTCCTGGCCTCAAGCAGTTCTCCCACCTCAGCATCCGAAAGCTCTGGGATCAGAGGCATGAGCTATGATGTACATCTTGGAGTTTTTTATTAACCAGTTGGAGTACTACATAAAATGCTAGCACTGTTTGGGGTATGAATTTAAGAACTGTAGGGAAACAAAACGATCTTGTTTTGAAATAGGATTAGCTTCATTCACAATGATAACACTGACTACTTAAGCTGAATAAGGTACCATATTAAGCTCTTGAAAATATTGTCCCATTTAATCCTTCCAGAAGCCCATTATTTTATTATTATGGTACTGTTATTAACCACATTTGACTGATGAGGAATTTGAAGATCCTCCAGATTGAACTGCTGATGATTCACAGAAACATGATGGATGACCAGGTCCATCAAATGCCAGAAACCACCTGCTGAGCACTGTCCCCTGCCCCCAAGCCATGCTTTCATGGGAATGCCTCCGACAAGTTCAGAGAGTAATTTACTCATTTGAAACGACCAATATTTGTAAGGCCTATGTCTAAAAGTCTTCCAGTATTTTAGAAATGCTAGTAGAAACCATGAACTCATAAAATAACAGCCACTCACAAAAGAATCTAGCTCTCATCATCAAGGAAGGCTTTGGAATCCTACAGACCAGGTTTAAATCTCTGCTTGGCCACCTGTTGGCTTTGGAGAAGGCACTTCTCCTCTGCAGACTTAGCATCTTCATGGAGATGATGGAAAACACTCCTGGTACCACTGGGTAGAGGAAATGAGATAAAGCATGTGCAAGACTCAGCCTAACACATGATTATGAGTGTCTTTCCTGTTCACGTTGTTATGCTTCTCGTCATTAGCATTCACCTTTCCATTTTCTGAAAAGATTAAATTTGGGACAAATCCCCTCAAGTGTTTGAATAGTTGCAAAAGTTTATACTGAAAAGTTGACTCTACTGTCCAAACTGAATTGAACTGCTTATTTGACAGGTTATGGTTGAAACTTCAATGTGGTCTATAAAAGCAGTTTGTGGTATCTATGTATTTTTAGAAAGGTTTGAGTCATACTCTAGCAGCAAGTGTGACAGTCAGAGACCACAGATGCAAACCGTGAGAATCTCATAGCTATTAAGTGGGACTGTTTGCATTACTATGAAAGATTTTAGCTCCTATGAACATTCTAGAATCTCTGAACATTCTGGAATCTTATAATCTTAGGACTGAAAGGCCCTTAGACATCATTCAGGCCAAGTCTCTCACTTAGTTAGAGATTCTGAGATCCAGAGATGGGAGTGACTTGCTCAAATCAACCAATTTTCTTGACAGCTGCTAATTCCCACAGTGCAGACCACTGGAAAAAGTACATTCAGCCTCATTTTTGAAGGATGAGACTGTGGTGAGATTCATGTCCATTTTGTAAAATAGCCGTACAGTCCACACTGATGAGCAGCTACAGGAACTTTCTGCCCAGCATCAGTAGCCTCATGGCTCTGAAGGCCAAAGGGCAGACAGCATTCTCTGCCCCTAACTTGGATTAAGAGATCTTAAAGTTGAGCAACTTTAAGATCTGAGGTCCTGACTGCAGTGGGTTCTGTACACATCCTGAGAGTGTAGAGAGACAGTATCTTTCTCAAACAATCATGGGAGACTTGACCTATTCACCCAGGAGGTTTGGGGCCAGGCCCATAAGGCTCATAAGGCAAATGTGTCCAGGATGACTTTGTTTCTGCTCCCCAGAGGAGGAAATGTGGCAACATCAAGGCAGCCAACGCCTGGGCCAAGATCCGGGAGCAGCTTTTTGGGGAGTTGGGCTTGTGGAGGCAGGGGGAAGAAGCCACGCCCTGTTCCCTGTGGGAACTCGACTGGAGAGAAGGACCAGCTCGAATGAGGAAACGCATCAAACGCTTATCTCCACTGGAGGCTCTGAGTCCAGGAAGGTGCAAGGTAGGAGTCAGGTGCAGTGGGATGGTGCTGGTTCCAGGTAGGGCCTGATAGGAAAGCAGTTCCTGAGCTTCCCCATCGCATGTTGCTTTTCCAGGCTAAGATAACACATACAGTTAAACGTAGGAGAGTCCCAAAATTTATTCTCAATGTCATTTAAGAGGAGAAAAGCATCACTAGCCGTCCTAGGTACACAGCAGGAACACTATACCTACAGCCTGAATGAATGGTTAAATAGTGAATGTTGAGTGGGTAAGTGGTTCTTACCTTTGTCACGGACACAGCCCTGCACTGCAGTCCACACAAGTCCTGTGGAATCATCTGGATGCCAGTGTTTGGAAAGGGTCAGGGGATGGCTCTTGTCTACGCACACGACTTACTTGTTATTGGACAGTTCTCACCCGTACTGCTATGAGCATTACTGCGAATCCCACAACAACTTTTACGATGAAAATCTCACGAGCTTGATTGTTTCTGCAGTTTTGAGCTGTTCGTCTACTTGTTCCAAACAACATTGACTTTCCAAGCAACAGAATCTGGGTAGTCCCTGTGAGTTTGCTCTAATGAAGCTTGAACTGTGTCTCCAAACTCCTATTTTGGCTTTTAAAAGACAGTAAGCCAGCTGGAGTCATTTTGTAGGAGATATAGAAAATACATTAATAGTTTTTCATGTCTTCATTGAATGATCATAATTTAAAATATCCTCAACGGCAGCCTTCCAAATACTGGAATGCTGGATTTTTCCTTCTGCGTTTATCACGAGTAACAATGTTGAGTTTATTCTGGGGTCTCTAACTTCAGCATATTTTACTCATGCTAAAAATCATTAATAAAACCGAATGAAAAAATTATATTTCATTTATTCAGTAGACACGTATATTTTCTACGTATTGTCAATAAACGTTTGGTGGTAGGTAGTATTTTCCCTCACTACATTTCTTAGGAATTGGAAGCAGGAAAAATAAGTAGCCTGCTCACTGTGCTGGTGACAAAGCCAAGGACTGGCCACGAAACCTGGTCTCTGGTCTCTGGCGCTGTCCAGCCCTGGAGCCTCCCCTGGTCACACCTCCACGGTGGCCCACACAGAGCCATCCAGGATGCTATCTAATCCCATTTTGGCATCTTCCTTGGTAATTACTGTAAGTCTTACTTACTGGAAGATTGTGGGTTTTTTCCCCTTTGACTCAGGAACATTAATACTTGCGTTTTATTGTAGTCCTTTAGGATTTAGTGTTTCTCTCCCTTTGCATCTGAGTCTTGCATAATTTGACGGGGTCACATTCATGTGTGTGTTTGTCAATCTGGAATTGGTGGGGGGGCGGTGAAGCATATATGTAGCATCTGGGATTTAATTTTTCTTTTCTCTGTCCTTATTTTAGGAAAACCAAGACAAAAGTGATCATATTTCTCAAGCAAATGCTGTAAACCAAGGTATTCAGTTTATCCATTTTTTCCTTTAATAATTAAGCTAATTATTGGTTTTATTTAATATTTTATTAAAGATATTAAATTAATATTTTAGAAGAGTAAAATGTTATTGTAAGCAGCCCTGAGACTCTTTTTATTGTTACTGTGCTTCCAGAAAGAAGAAAAGTCTATTTCAGCCCTAGACACTTGTTAGGAGAAGCATTTTCTACTAAGGTTGCAACAATAACAATTTTTGGGGAGAAACAGTCTTGTCAATTTCCTATACCAGGGAGACCTTAAAAATGCTCCCAAACAAGTTTTCTTGTGCTGTCACCTAGGCTGGAGTGCAGTAGCACAATCACAACTCACTGCAGCCTCAACCTCCTGGGCTCACATAATCCTCCTGCCCCAGCCTCCCGAGTAGCTAGGATTACAGGTACACACTACAATGCCCAGATGATGTTCGTATTTTTTGTAGAGACGGGGTTTCGCCGCATTGCCCAGGCTGGTCTCCAACTCCTAAGCTCAAGTGATCTGCCAGCCTTGGCCTTCCAGAGTGCTTAGATTACAGGTGCGAGCAACCACACCTGACCAGTGACTGCTTCTTAGTGCTGATCAAACTTGTCTCATTTCCTGACTAAAGGATTTGCAATGAGCTCACTACCTTGTGTGTCTGCAGTAACGCAAGCCCAGAGTGAGGATCCTGGGCTCTGATTCCCCAGGTGATTTGGGGTCTTACTGTAGCACAGAGCATGGGATGACACTGTGATACCTGTTTGCCTCTCTTCTCTCCACCCCAAGCCCTATGACCCTCACATGAAATGATTGTCTGCCTGCTCCACCTCTCAGAGGTGGGGGTTGCAGAGAGTGCAGTGGTGGAAAGCATGAACTGATTAGTTGGTGGACAATGGCCATGGGCTTCTGTGTCCTCTCACTCCATGGTGTCTCTAGTATGCACCCTGATTAAGGAACTCAGCCAAGGGAGAAGAAAGGCCCTGTGGCTTACCACCCCACCTCTCCTATGCATCTCTACCTACAGAAGTGTTCTCCCTGCATGGGGGAAAGATGTGAGGGTTTTTGTGAGCAGCAGACACTTTCATTCATCTAGATGTGAGACTCCCAGGTGGGGAGGAGATCAAAGAGGAGAGCTTCTCGACACATAAAAAATGGCCCATAGCCTGCCAGCTGTGTAGTCAAGTGAAGTGTGCCTGCTCCAGTCAGATGATGCTCAGGACAGGTGATGCTCAGGACAGGTGGAGGAGAAGCAGGATCTGGAGATCTGCAAACTTGCATGCTTAGCTTGGATCCAGGTGTACCCACCCAGAATTGTCTCAGGAAGCAAATGACTGCAGAATAGTACAGTTGTGATAGTGCAGAAATAGAAACATCTCATCTGTCAAAAATAGGAGACAGATTAGTTGAGTATGAAACTGCTATATAATAGAATATTACGAAGCCAATTAAGTTGTTCAAAGGACTTTTAATAGAATTGGGAAGTGTTCATAATGTAATCTTGATTGGAAAAAATATTAGAGAGGAAAAACTGTGAATGCATTATTGTTCTTATTATGTTCAAAATTGCACATGTGCATGTGCTTATACCTGTAAGTACAGAAAAGATAATGGAAGTAAATGGACCAAACTGTAAATAGTGGAGCCAAATAGACTGGAGATGAAAAGACCAGATCCTGGCCTCAGAGAGACTTTATTCAGATTCTACCTCTAGTTCTTAGACAGCCTATGACCTTTTACAAAATAAATAGCCTGTTTCAATTTTTCCATTTGTCAAGTGAGGATGAAAGAGTATCTCTAACCTAGGTGGGAAAACATTTTAAAATGTCATCAGAAATATCCGTCACAGAGAATGGAGTTACTAAATGGTAGCTCTTATTGTTGGCACTATCTCTGAGTACATGGGTTAGATTTCTTTTATTTCTCACAACTTCATATCTGTTCCAAGTTTTTTTTTTTTTACAATAAAAAGACATTGTTTTTATCATTAGAAAAAAGCAGCAATATTCAAAGAGCGAATGAAGTGAAGTTGAGAAAAAGCAAATCGTGGCTGAGCCTTTAGGGAGTTGCTTTACTGACTAACGAGGGTGAATCTAGAAATGTTGTCCTGTGGTCACCAGAAGTGGCAGAGCAGCTAGGCCTGGGCATAGCTGGGCCCTCCAGGATGAGCCAATTGGAAGGTATTTTGACCACACCCCAGGGTGCCCCAGATGTGTGGCGTCCATTTCCAGAAGCAGTGGAGGGGCACAGTGAGAGATCCGCACTCTTCACTTGGCTCTGGAGCCTTGCTGCTCCTCACTGACGTAAGCAAGTGCTGTGTACCAGCTCTCACCATGGCAGGTGTCTCCTGTCAACACCGTGTGTCCCTTTATGCTGCTGCAGATGAGCTGACATCAAGGGAGGCTGAGAGTGAGCCGGACGAGGTGGGGGTGGACTGCACCCAGCTGACCTTCTTCCCAGCCTTACACGAAAGTCTGCACTCAGAAGACTTCTTGGAACTGTGTCGGGAGAGACAAATTATTTTACAAGAGCTTCTTGATAAAGAAAAGGTAATATACCCCACTGCAGTGTCCTTTAAGATTTTTGAGTTATTTGTTAAGATTGTCAGACAGGAGAAAACAAAGCTTTCTTCATTTACATGGGGAATGAGATTTCCATTTGCTATGAAAACTTTCAACACAATAATCAGTGAGAAAAAGGGTTAGGTTCCTAAATGTGTTGGCCCAGAGAATGGGTGCAAAGGGAAGTCTATGCACCCTGCATCTAAAAATTTAAAAGTTATACCTCAAGCTAACAAACTTAAATGAAAAATGCTCTAAGGTCCTACTTCAACCTTCGTAACAAACTGAGAGGCAAGTTTCAAGTTGAGAATTCTTGACCTTCTCGCAGTTCAGCATCTTGGCCTCCTGCCTGTGGCCTGACTACCCTGAGAGGTTCCACACCTTGAGGGGTCTTGAGCACATGTGTTTGGACACCCCAACCCACATGTCCACACTGTCCCTATGCCTCGGCCTCACCTTGGCCACCACTCAAGCCTAGGGGTAAGCACACTTGTGGCACCATTAGCCTTCAAAAGGGTGGCCCTGGAGATGAAGTGCACAGGCCCAGGAGGCAGGCTGGGACCAGGTGGCAGGCAAACCTGGGGTCCCGGGTGCCTGGAGCTGGGTTGGTGGAGCCCCACCCTTTGTGTGTGTATCCTGTTGGCCTGGCTGGCAAGGCCCCAGAGAAGGACCCCTCTTCCTCAAGTCTAAGAATGTGTTGGAAGATGGAGCAGATGTCTTAGAGTAGAACCGGCCTGAGTTCTAGTCCCAACTTGGCCGCATATTAAACGGCACGTCACCTAACCTTTGTCAGCCTCCGTTTTCTCATCTTCAGTATGGAGTTCTGGCTACCATCTGATAGAATTTTGCTCAGGTTTAAATGGGGAAATGGAAGTCCAGGGACTAGCTCAGAGCCAGGCATAAGAGAGGTGCTCATCAAAGCGGAGTTCTTTTCCCTTTCTGAGGATTGGGTGGTTGAAGGGTGGTGGGCCTCAGGGTCTCTGGGTGAATCGGGCTTTCCAGTAGGGATGTAAATGAAGGAAAGACCCATAGAGGAGCAGGCAGGCTGGGGCTGGGGGGCCACAGGGGACACACAGAGATGAATGCATGGGAGCTAGAGGCTAGTCTGGCCCCAGGATGAATGAGAGTGGATCTGAAACAAGGCCTACCTACCCTTGAGTAGGTAGGCCTTGGTTTCTACCTCCTGAGGGAGGAGCCTGGACATCCAGGAGTAGGTCCGAAGCTCAGAGAGCCTGGGAGGGCATGAGCAAATGACTGCTACAGAGTTTTCAGCGAGTTGCTTCCCTGCTTTCAGGTTTGGGTCATAGTTCAAGCGGTGTGGTCCTATAACACTGCTGTCTTTCTTATACCTGCATAACCAAAGCTTCCAGATGCTTCTTGCATCACCTCCTGCCTTGCTGCTGGCACACAGAGTGACATCAGCACTTCACCCATATACCTCTGTCACTACTAATCCTTCTTACAGGAGGGACTCCTGTTGCCTGACCACAGGCGTGCCTGGAGCAGTCAGTCAGTCAACACAGATGAATGACATGTTAAGTTCATGTGCATTTTATTTTGATTATAGAAGTATTATATGCCTACTGTGTGAAATTTTGATAAATGGATATTAAAATCTATAACACACATGTACGCATAAGTGTGTATTCATAGTATCCAGTTGCTGAGGACTAACAGCAGATCATAACAGTTGGGATATATCAATATATTAATATGCTCATATAGATAGATGGATATTTAGTAAATACCTTGTCCATTGAAAAAACAGCTAAGACGTCACTGCTTTCTTTCCATAAAAACTTTTCTTTGCTTTATGCCCTTAGAGGAGCAGCAGTTCTCAACTGGGGGCAACTTTACCCCACAGGGGTCCCTGGCCATTGTCTGGAGGTATTTTTGATTGCCATGGTCAGGGTGAGAGGGTGCTCCTGGTGCCCGGTGGGCAGAGGCCAGGTCTGTTGCCAGGCCCCTACATTGTCTATGGTGACAAGGCTGAGCACTGTGTCAGGAAGGATCCACAGTGAACAGATGTCATGCCCCAGCTCCGCTGACCTTCTTTCCTGATTATGTGGCGTATCCATATTGGTTCTTTTCATTGCTTTGGTAAGAGAACCATGGCAGTGCTTTATATTCACTTTCTATTTTTGCCAAAAGAAATTACCACAAATGTAGCGATTTTAACGCAACACACATTTATTGTCTGGAAAGTCTGGGAACAGCGGGGCTCAGTTGATTCTCTGCTAGAGCCTCACAGGGTTGCAGCCAGGGTGTTCGCAGGGCCATGTGTCTTTCTGGAGCCTCGGGGAAGGCATCCTTTCCAAGCTCATTCCGGCGCCGGCAGAATCCAAGTCCCTGTTTCTGTAGGTCTGAGCTCCTGTTCCCTGCCTGCCGGCTGCCGGAGTTCATCTATTTCTTGGGGTACCCAACTCCCTTGCCCTGTGGCCCTTCCTCCTTTCACTTCCTGCAGCAGGTGGCATCCTTCTCATCCTTCAGGTCCTCCTGGCCCCCTCTGCCTCCCGCTCCCCGCATATCACCTCTCTGACTGACTCTGCTGCTGCTGCTGCCTAGGGCACAGGAGATGGCACTAACTCACACATAACCCAGGATCACATCCCTGATTTAAGAGCAACTGATTTGTAACCTTAATTTTATCTGCAAAATCCCTTCAGAGCAGTGTGGGTGTTGGATGGGACAGCTTCCTTGGGACTTCTCTGGAATACAGCCTACCACTTCGGCACCACTCAGGTTGCTGTCTCCCAGGGTGAGTCCCTAGCCTCCCAGGAGAGCTTCTGCAGGTGGCCTGACTCCCTCAGGCATCCAAGGCCAGCTGGGAGTTCCCACCCTGGCTGGACTAGAGTTTGTGGTCAGAGTCCTGAGCAAGTCCCGGCCCGGCCTCTTACAGCCTGCAGGCCTTTGACACTTGTCCTGTCCCTGAGAGTCTTGTTTCTTGCTTTCGTTGACTGTCCACCAGGTGACATTTCCCTCAGGGGTCTTGCTGGGGAGCAGGAAGGATCTGAAGCCCCCAGGTGACTGACTTTCCAGCCTCTGAGGCAGGACAAAACCAGAAAGGGGCTCTTTTCCCATCCGCTCCTCCCTGCCTTTTGTTTAAGCTTCAGTCTTCCTCGGCCCTCCTGTGGCTCAGTGGGAAGCTGTCAGAAACGCCGCACACAGTTTGCTGTTGCATTGGGGATCCCCAGGATGTGCAGACAGGAGCATGCGAAACCCAGCGGGCGATGGGAGGGAAGACAGTGGGAGCTGCCCTGCTTCCACTTAGTGCCAGGTGGCCAGTACCTGCAGGAGGGAGGGGCCAGCCAGGGACCCTGCGTGAGTGTCAGCTCCCGGCCCAGAGGAGGACTGGACAGGGTGATCCTTGCCATTATCTGGGCATCTGTCGTTGCCTTAGTTGTCTCTATGCACTTTATGGGGCTCTGCTTGCTGCCCCTGGCTTCATGGGGAATTGTGAGAAAGGCTGGACCCAAGCTGAGTTTCCGCAGGGCCAGTGAAGACAAACCACCAGGCACGCCTTCTCCTGGAGATGCAGGCCCGGGGACGTTGGGGCAGGGCACGGTCCCTGGTGAGGGGAGAGTGGAGGCTACAGGCAGGGTCAGGGTACAAACCCTGCCCATTTCTAATTCTCTTGCCCGCACTTACAGGCCTAGCGACTGGGTGAGTAAGAGAACCATTCCCAGCCTCCTTTCCGTCATCTTTAGAATGGGGATCTACTCCTGGTCTCACTAGTTTGTGGCAGAGATCCATGTGGGGCTGTGTCTCTGTCTGACACCGTGCCCTGTGAAGAGGCAGCTCTCAGCCACCGGTGTCTGCTATTATTGCTGTGGCTGTCGCTGGTCTTTTCATTGTCCCAAAGGATTTGTTCTCACTCTCCTGGAAGTAAGAAGGGACCTTGGAAGAACACTGGTACCTAAGGCATGACCTTGTAAAGTGAAGGATGAAGGATCCTGTTGAGAATGAGACTCCTGTGAGGCAAGAAGCCACATGTCTTGGGGAAAGGCTGCAGGGAGTGTTTGGCTAGATGGGAAACTCTGGAGGTCTCCATGGGTCTGCTTGTCCTGCTGAGATGGTGAAGGATGAGACAGAGGGTCAGAGTGGAGCCCATGAAGAGCCTGATCAGCTGGAATGGAGTTTCTGCAGAGTGCCAACACTCATACCAAATGCAAGGTTTTGGGAGAAAGAGGGAAGTTTCTAGGATGAAGCTGAGGCCTGGACTGATGTGCAGTGAAATCGAGAAGGTCCCTAAACAGAAAGCACAGGCAGGGAAGAACATAAGAAAGCAGACCCCAGGAACTCACATGAATCAGAAAATCCTTGAACGAGAGGAATGTCCTTCTGCTCTAGACTGAAGGAGCAGGACTCTGGCTGGCTGGCGGGACGTTTGGGACCTCTCTGTGGCCTGGCACTCCCCCTCCTCCTCATACCTCCTCCACCCAGGTTCATGTAGCCCCACGCCCACTCGCTCATGGCTCCCAGCCTCTGGGCCTCCTGGGTGAACCTGTCCTGGTGTGCTCCTTCCCAGCACACTCCCACCCCAGGGCATAGCTGGTGGCTCCATCCCCTGGGCCTGCCCCAGCCGTCTCTTATTGCCTGATTGATGATTTCTGAGCCTGCCTATGATTCCTCTGAAGGTACAGAGAGACTTGGGTTCCTTCGCATCCCTTCCTTCCCTGACACACAGGGTGTGTGCTTTGGAAGAACCTGCAGACCTGGTGAGCTTGGCCTGATGGGGCTGCATGAGTCAGGAGGTCCTCCAGGGGAACCAGCCTGCACACAGACCTGGGTCTGCTCAGGTGCCTCAGGACCCAGCTTGAGGGAGGGCATGCCCTGGGGGCACCTGGCTCATGGAGGAGCCTGCTCTGGGTTGGGGAGGGGCTTGATTGGACTGGAGCAGGCTGCCACACCACCACCACCAGGGAGGCAGAAGTCCATCATTTGTGCCCAGGAGGGCAGCTTGGCACAGCAAAGTGCATAGACTGGAT